GTGGTTTTTTAGATTAATTTTTTAATCTACTATAATTATTGCTGTACATTAATGCATGTCTAAATGATTTCTAAATTTATCAAGCAATCGAGGAAATAATAAATGTAGCGCATACAATCCCTACACATGTGTTTCTCGGAGCGAAATGAAGTCGTATGTGTGGGAGAAGGAGCGATTTTGCCTCGGGGTTCAAATACTGTACTGTACTGTACTGTGTAAGATTGTTAGGGAAACTTGTAGGCATATGATGTGTATATACATATGCACACTGTTCTCTACTGATGTGCACTGTACTGTACTCTACTGAACAATGCAACAATCTTCACCAGGAGATGAAGATGCACGAACAGTACTTGCGGTGCGTGGTGCGGGCCTTGTCCATGTCGGGCATGACGCAAGGCCCGCGGGCCGCGCCGCTGTTGGAACTCTACCTGGGCCTCGTGTCGTCCGTCGTGGGGGCCTTCTACTTCCTGCTGCTTGCTCGTCACACGATGGGCTCCTTGTCCCAGCAGCTGCCAGCATCAACATCAGGCGTCGTCGTCGGCGGAGGCGGCAGCAGGAGCAGCAGGGCCAGAGCTGCTGACGAGGAGTACGCCGTGTCGTCGTCGTCGACGGGGTGTAATACTGCTGTTGGCAGCGAGCCGACGACGAGTGGACGCTGCTCTGATGGAGCAGGGATGTTGATGCCCACCCCGACCATGTCGTGATACTTTTGTGTGCGACAGGGTCGCTTGATGTTCTGTCAATGGGGTGCGTGCAGTGTATCTATATATAGAGCCATAGAGAGAGGGGACTTGACATCGTATACCGTAATGTTATTGTGCTTCCGTTTTACTGTACAGTACTTCAGTCAAATGTGGATAAGTTATTGCCAGCATACTTTGTGGGGGCTTGCAATTTAAATATGTTTTTTGTGTTCTAATTTCCTAATGGAAATGTTCAAACTTTCCTGAACCTCATCCAGGTTCTAGCCTTAGTTCATGTTTGTTAACGCAGGATGGCAGCGCAACCATACACACACACATATATATATATATTATATATATTATATATATATTATATATATATATATATATATA